AACCAATTTGCTTCTACTCTGAAGCAAATTGTAAATCTATATATACAGTAGCATTTATGAGTCTATTGGAAATGTAAATATCTTATATTACAAAATCATTGCTATTTTTTAATTATGACAATAGCATTGTGGCATTTTTTTAAGACTATCTCTTTTAGAGATACGGACTAAAATGTTTACATAGAAAATCATATGATAACAGCAATTTGCTTCAAAATAATATGGGGAGGGAAAAATGACTGGGGATACGGATGAGGCAGTATTGGTCATGGCTGGATGTGGTGGCTTGGGTGATAGGTACATACTTATATATTTTTTATATTTTTTAACTTTTCTATGTTTTATATGTGTGAAATTCTCCACGGTAAAAAAAAAATTTTTTTTTAATTTGGAAAGCAAAATTGATATAAATTAATAATAAATTGGATATTTGGTAAGGATAAGTATGATGGAGGTGTCAGGGATGATGCTGGGTTTCTGATTTTTGAGTCTAGATCTGAAGTGGTACCCTTCAGTGCCTTATAAAACAATGAGCAAGAACTATATTGGCCAAAAGGCCATTAATCTATTTTGAACATATTGACTCTGAGATGTCTCTGATTAAACCAACAAAGTAGAAATAGTAAGCAGTTAGATAGGCAGATTAGGAACTGGGTAGAAAGATCTGGGCTAGTGGTACACATTTAAGAATCAGTAGTTCAGAGTTTATGCAAGTGGATGGGATTGCCTGCGCATTGATTCCCAGACTTGAACATAGATCCAAAATACCAAACACAGATCGCTGGGCCCTAACCCCAGAGCTTCTGATTCATAGGTCTAGGTATGACTTAAGAATTTGCATTTCTAACAATTTGACAGGTGATGCTGATGCTGTATGTAGGCCTGAGTACCACATTTTGAGAACCACTGGCCTAGGAAGATAGTTCTCAACCTTGGACACACACTGAGAATATCAGTGAAGACAAGGAAGAGAGTGCTTCAAGTTGGAAAGAGTGTTCAACAAGACCAAATGCTGCTCCAACCAGTAAAATGATGGTGAAAAATACCCTTTGGATTAGCAACATCAAAATAACTGGTGACTTTAAGGAGATATTAGTGGACAAAAGGGAAAATCAAATTAGAGGGGTTGAGAAGTAATGAAGAAGGTTCAAAAATGAAGAACAGTTGAGTGTAGATAATAATTTTGAGAAGTTTGGCTGTGAATAATGTGAAAGGGAAAAAATTGTATTGTATTTGGTGGGGAGGTGGGACTGAGTGCAGACGTAAGGATTAAAATTAAATCATTGAGATTAAATCACTACCTACTTCCTTGAATTAAAAAAAAATTAAAACACCAATTCCCCTTCTGAAGATGAGTTGTATTTCAATAGTTGCATCTTAAAGACCTGAAGAATCTTGAAAAATCAAAAGGATGAACTCTGAACTTGGGTATTCTGGTATTTTTATGGAGGAATGGGGATGCTTATTGAAGGGAAAGCTTTTCCCCTGACATCACAGGTCTTGGGAAGCTGCTGTTCTACTGGTTGATAAAACTGGCCTTCACATTCATTTATTTCATTATTGATTCATTTGTCCATTAAATGTGTATCAAATACCTATTATGCGCTAGACACTGTACTAGGCTCTGGGATTAGTGTTGAATTATACACTTTAAATGGGTGAATTGTATGGCATGTGAATCACATCTCAGTAAAGTTCATATATAAATGAGATCTGAATATTGATGGGAATTAGCTAAGGAATAAAGTATTTCTACACAGAGGGAAGAATGTGTGCATTGGCGGAAAGAGTGTGGCATTTTAGGAGATGTGAAAAAAAATTCTGTGACTGGCATGTTCCTTGACAGAGTACAATGAGAGATGAAGCTGAAGATCTTGAAAGAACCCGGATTGTATAGTGTTGTAAAAGCCATGCTAAAGGTTTGGGACTTTATCCTAAGAACAATAGGAATCCAGTTGCTGTACAATATAATCACTATGCATTATCACTTTGGCTACTATGTAGAGAATGCAGGAAAGAAAAGAGTGTATTTGGGAAACCAGAACAGTGATATTATAATTCTCCAGGCATGAACTATTGATATCTTAGATTAAGATGGTGGCAACAGGATTGGACAAATTCAAGACTTGTTGACAGATTAGAATTGAGATGTAATAGAGTGATGTAGCTGAGATGAGTTGCTCAACTGAGTGGGCAGTGAAATGGAAATAGGAGAAGAGGCGCAAATTTTGGAATGGGGGGCAAGATTAGTTATTTTTAATATAGTTGGGATGATCTAATAAGAGAGCAAGGATGATTTGTGCAGTAATGAGCTCTCGTTCCCTGAGATTATTCAAGTCAGACTAGAGATCTTTCTGTTGAGTAGAAAGCACTTTTGCTCTAAAAGAAGTCATGGACTGAACAACTAAATTTCCATTCAGTTCTAAGGGCCTACTACAAGAAACTGCCATTTGTGCCAGAATCTGGTCCCCAAAACACCTGATGGCTGAAATGAGCTATTTGCTGGAACCTGAATTCCTCAGAACCATCTACACCAGGTTAATAATTAAAGTTCCTTGGGAGGTCTCCATTTGTTTGTTTCACCTGTGTGGAGGATTCTGGTTTCATAAAATCCCACAGCAGTATTATTTAACCTAGTGCCAAAGAAAGGCCTACTTACTCCACCAACCCAAAGGCAAGTCTCTTCTCGCCCCAGAAGAAAAAGGTGGGAGGTTGCAGTAGTCACAGAAACTGACCCTGCCCAAAGCCAAAACACAGAGAGGGCTCCTACAAAATTAATCTCTGTATTTTTTTCTCACACCCTCTCCAAGTCTCCAGCACTGTGCCCTTAGGGCCCAACAGCCAGGCATTTGTTGGTTAACTGATCCTCCAGGCCTGGGGTGAGGTGGGGTGAGAGGACGATGGAGTTTTTAAATGTAAAATTGAAAAGCACAAAAGGGAGGGAAAAGGAGAGGCAAGAATAACGAAGAACAAGGAAAGACTTTTGTGTGTGTCTAACCTCCAAAAGAGCTGCTACCTGGGTCCCTTAAGAAACAGTAAAGATTTACCTAATGTCTTTTATTAACTGTCTTACCACATGCCCTAAGAGAGGTAGATGGGATTTGTTTGACTACTTGATTGCCACCCTGATTCTTCTCCAGTTTTTATGTCGTGCTCACAGTCTAACATACACCAAACCAGGGGTTCAAGACCCTGCTCCTTCCGCAGCCTCTCGCCCTGCCGCCACCATCCCTCTCCTCAGGTTAGGGTGCCTTCCGCCTTCTTCTTCTTCCCCTTCTGCAAATCTCGGCACACACTTTCTGGGTCTAATTCACATCTTTCTGACTCTCCCCATCTCTGAAATGGGAATAATAAAAATCATGATGGGAGTAACAGTACAACCTATACAGTATAGTTGCCATGAGGATTAAACATTTTACATACTTGAGAATTTGTTGGAACTGCAAAGGACTATAAAATTAGACGTTGTTTTTATTGCCTTTATTTCTAAAGCCCAGTTCAATTGTTAGAATTAGGGTGCCAGGATGCTTGGCTGCTCATCAAAGGGATTAGGGAAGGGGCTAATGTTAGATATTGCCAAGTGTTTCAGAGAAAAAATCCACTCCACTTGAAGCAGGACGTCAACTCACCTTGCACAAAAAGCCCTTTGGAGAGAAGTCTTTCAGTTTAAAAGCTGGAGGCGTGGGAAAACAAAGTACTCAAAGCAGACAGCGGGAGATGCTCTGGGCCTTCAGGCCCGCACCCGTCCGCCTCCACGCACCTGGGGCGCCCTCCGCCTGCGGTGAGCGCCCCTCCCACTGCCGGGTCTCAGTCCTGCCAGGCCTGGGGAAAAAAAGGATTAGGGTTCTGGATGTTTTAACATATTACGAGATTCTGCAGTTGACCAAGAACTCTAAAATCCCCCAGGCAGTACCGGTCACTTCGCGGTGCCCCGCACAATAACCCCCCCACCCCGCCGCGGTAAGGCCCAGGAAAGTGATGGTGTAATAAAATGAGATTCGAGGTTGTGGAAAGAATAGGCATATTTTTTTTGGAACAGATCTAGGTGCCCCCGTGTTGGGGAAATTAGATAGATTTGGGTGTTGATTTCTCCAGTCATTTCAGAACCACACTTCCTGCCAGATCGCTCAGGGCAAGGCTAGAACAATCTTAGGGCATTCAAAGAATGCCAGTTCTAAAGGCGGTTCCAAAATCGGGGATACAGGCCGCGGGCCAGTTGTCTACAAAGAAAGCGACCGCATCCCTCACGTGTTTGGCCACCTGTCTTCGCAGGCCTCAGTTTCCCAGTGTGAAAAATGGGTGGACTACTGGCTAACCTCCCTTACCGAGAGAAAGGGGCTGGGTGTTCCGGTTTCGGCCCGGCTAACACAAACCACTCGAGAAACGAGGAGTTTCTTTCGTTTTCGGTTCAAAGAGAAAAAAATGCAATAAGCGTGAACCATGCCCAGAAACGCTTCTGTCACTGTAAGTGGAGAGCCGGCTGAGAAGACGGCTACAGGAGGGCCAAATTGGGCAGTACTTCTGCCGCATACGAATGTAAATCCGCACGTGTGCACATACACAAACACGCACAGACGGTGTCAAAACCCACGGGTGTGTAAGGAGACCCAAACACCCACAGTTCGAGTCCCAAGGACCCGGAGCGGCCTCTTCTGCGCTTGCGCATTAACCGCGTTTTCCCCACCCCCCAACCCCGCTGGCGCCCCGCCCCCGAGCTCGTTGTGCCCCGCCCACCTTCCCTCCCCTTCCCCAGCCCGGCCGCCCGCGCAGAGCATTGTGGGACACAAACAAAGTGCCCCCAAACAGGCTGGAGTGAGCGGAGCGGCAACGGCCGCGGCGCCGGCCCGCACGCGCGCGGCGGCGGCTCCCTCCCAACCTCCCCCTCCCCTCCCCTCAGTCCCCTTCCCCTTCCCCACCCCATCGAGAAAACGCGAGCCGTCGCCGCGCTCCCCAAACCGCCGCCTGCCCTCGGCCAACCGCCCCCAACGGCCGCCCGCGCGCGGCTCCCCGGGCCCCCTCGCTCCTCCCCTCAGGCCCCTCCGAGCGCCGCGGGTGCTTCCCTCCGGCCGCTTCGCACTCTCCCACCTCGCAGGCACGCTGCTGGTTGTGCCGCCATGCCCCAGCCACAGGCTGTCCACGGGCCTAGGCGCGGCGGCCCGAGATAGGGTCCCCTCAGCCTCCCGGGGGAGGAGAGAGGCAGCGAGCCGCGCGCTCCGCCCCCTCCCCCCGGGCTGTCGCCGCCGCCGCCGCCGCCACCTCGCCGCCTCAGCCTGGCGGGGAGGAGGAGGAGGAGCACCAGGCCTCCGGGCCCCGGCACCGCCGCCCTCAGGTAATGGGGAGGGGAGGGCGAGCGGGCCGCCTGGCCCCAGTGGGGTCAATGACCAGCCACTCCTTGCCGCCAGTGCCCTCGGGTTGCGCCCGCCGAGGGGCTGACACCACGCGTCCCCCATCTGGGCACTGGACGGAAAGGAAAGCCTGGTCTTGTCACCCCATCCGCTTAGGGAGACACCCCATAGGGTCCCTTCAATGGCATTTAATCCTTCAGGGAGGAGACTAGCCTTGGGCCCCCCAGTTAGGAGAAATCACCCCCATCGTCCAGGGTGCTCCCCATCATTTGCATGCCCTTTGCCAAACACCCTAACCCAAAGAAGGCAGACGTGTTACCTCCTCTCACCTCTCACCTGGTCGAGCCCGAGACCTGTTCCCCCCACCCTGCCCGCCCCGCTGCTTTTTCTCTGGTACTGGGAAAAAAGGATGGCACTCTTAAAAAATAACAACAACACCTCTTTTTCTTCCCTACCTGAGGATCACTCTGCATCTAGTCATTTTCTGCTGGCCTAGCCAGAGAAAGGGGTTACCTGCCAGTGAAATGACAAGTACATTAGAACTGATGAAAGGAAATCGCATCCTTTGAGTTCTATGAATCTTAACCAGAATTTAGAATAAAGACTAGTGATTGTGTACTTTATTGGAACTTAGAGAAATGAAGACAAAAACTTAAGTTTTTTCAACATATAAGTAGATTAAATCTGTTGAGGTCAGGAAAAAATTCTCTTCCACTTATTTTCTTACAGGTTTTTTCAGATACAGACTAATACCATAAGCACACTAAACAATTTGATAGGTGGCAAATAGTTTGGCTAGGTAAAATTTTTGTGATTTCCTTTTGCCTTAGCTTTCAGTTAGAATTATTCTATTAAAAAAGGTATTATATAAATCTTCATTTCCCTCATTACTTCACATTGACTGCCAGTGGATTAATAATATTTAATTGTACCTAATGTAGTTTCCTTATCACGCAATGTGAAAATAATGTTTTCCTGTAGTCTTGTATTTTAGGATGATAACACTCATTCATTATGGAAACCAGATTTACTTATTTTGTGCAACACAGGCATTTTACATATGTGATCTTATTTAGTCCTCAGAACAACCTAATGACTTAGATACTGTTACTTGAATTTTATGTAGATGAGACAAATCACACAGCTAGAAGTGAAAATTGTACCCAGATATAATTCCAGTGTAGGTATATTTCTACTTTGCCTCTCAGTACAGGAACACTTTTAACTTTATTATGAAAAATTTGTCTTACGAAATTGAGAAATAGTGAATACTCCACTGTGTAGATTTAGTAACATTTATTGTTCCCTTCTCACTTCTCCCTTTCAGTGTCTGTGTGTGTAACCATTTGAAAGTTACAAACATCAGGACCCTCACTATTTCTGCATGCATTTCCTAAAAATAAAGGACATTCTCCTACTTATTCCCAACATCCTTATCAACACCTTTCTAAATTAACAATCCATGTGGAAATTTCCTGTTTGTTCTAAAATCTCCTTGAGAAATTTTTCCCCTTCTGTATTCAGCCAAGATTAATGTATTGCATTTGATGATTATGCCTTTAGTCCTTTTAAAAAGAATACCCATCTCCTTTTTTTCTGACACTTAATTGACCAAACCAGTTGTCTTATAGAATGCTCCCACATTCTAGACTTGTCTATTTCCTCATAGTGGCATTTAATGTATTCCCCTACCCCCTTGAATTTTCTGTTACTGGAAGTTAGGTCTAAAGAAAAACTTGATTAGCTTGAGGTGAAACTTTCTTTGGCAAGAATATTTGATAGGTGATACTGTGTACTTCATACTGCTTCATAAACTGGTATGTAATGTCAGATTGCTACACTTAGTGATGCCAAATGACCACTAAAGTGGTGACTACCAAATCTATTATAAGGGTGTGGTTTGCTCTTTGTGATAATACTTTGACACCAAGCAAATACCCTGTTTCTGGCTACCTTTTGCTTAGAGATTTTAACACTCCTTGGTGAGTCTTGATTAAATCAGTTTTCCTGGAGATTAAAATGTAAAAAAGATTTCCTTCATTAACTAGGGGTAAACTAAAGTTCCTCCTGAAAATGCAGAGTAAATGCTTAATTTCTTCCCTTTGATTATCAATATTCAGAGAAAGGGTTGGAGAAATAGTTACACCCAGGGGTGGCATTTTTTTCTTTTTTTGCCAGATACACTATGGACTCATGAGTTTTAATGTATTTATTCATTTTTTTTATAACTGTTACAGTCATTTTTCTTTTTGATCAAATTGTCCCAATAGGAACCCTTTCAACCTGGCTCCTGTGTCTTTTTTTTTTTTCTTTCTTTTTTTTTCTTCTTTTTTTTTTTTTTCTTTCTAACACTCCTGCTTGCCATTGGAGCATTCTTGGAGTGCTTTCTGGCACAAGATACCCTAGGCTTACCTTGTTACTTTCTTTGCTCTAGATCTGGAATGGGCTGCTTATCTAAGGAGTCTTGGTTCTTTTTGATGAGAAATGGTATGTAGAAACCAAGATCAGGATGTTGACATATTCATTGCTGCTGGAGTGTCATTGCTTCGAGGCCCTTTCAGAGGAGAGAACTAAAAAATGGTTTTTCGCTTGTTTGTTGAATCATAAGTTCATAGTGATATATCCAATTCAAATTTAACATAGCAGACTTTTCCTTAACTTCTTTGATTTTACATTTGTCTCTTAAATGAAAATCTTGGTGCCTAATAAAATTAATATACATTAATCCTATTCTATATACATACAGTCGTTTCAAAATCACCGTAACAGTATTCTATCAATAAACTTCCTGGTAAAGTTTAGGAGTTCTTTGCATTTTTTTTGTCCTTAGAATATATTATATAAAGGTGTATAATCAGAGTACTTATGTTCAGAAGTCACTTGAATTACTTTTCTGCTTAGTTAAGCTACCAATTTGATATAGTTCATTGATTTTATTATTTTGGGGTTATCTTTATTTTTGAATATGTCAAATATATGGTTTAACAAAAGACAAAATTATTTTTAAAAGTATGGTTAAAGAAGCCTCACCCAAATTAATTTTTAAGATGAAGTATACCCTTTAGTATCTAATATATTCTCATATGTCTTAATTGCAGAAGGCTTAGCAGTATGTTACTTCCTTGAAGTGATATAGGAGTGATTTTAAATTTTGCAATTAGATTCTGATTCCTCTGGCCAAGAGAAAGCATTAAGACTAATCCTTCAAGGTGAGCAGAAAAGTAGATTTCAAGCTTGCTTCTGCAAGCTTTACTTGAAAATCAAGTCTTTAAAGAGGTATGTAGATGGTAGAAGTTTTATGAATCCGTCTACTTGTATGCCACAAACAAAACTGGCATACATGGGGTGCCTGGGTGACTCAGTCGTTAAGCGTCTGCCTTCAGCTCAGGTCATGATCCCAGGGTCCTGGGATCGAGCCCCGCATCCGGCTCCCTGCTGTGCGGGAAGCCTGCTTCTCCCTCTCCCACTCCCCCTGCTTGTGTTCCCTCTCTCGCTGTGTCTCTGTCAAATAATAAATAAAATCCTTAAAAAAAAAAAACTGACATATGCTGTCTGTAGATATAAAAGACATTTGGACATGTGATCAGTGACAACAGCACGTTTTGTTTGGATTGGGCAAAATTTGATAGAAATTATAATTATGTGTTCAAGTGAGGGTTTAGGAGGGAGCAGCAGTTGTCTAAAGTGGGCAGAGCACAATTAGTCAGTTTATCTCAGTCACCTATCACCCAGTGCTATAAAAAGCAAAAGATGCGCCCAATGTGTTTTCCTCTGCGTATACTATCACTGTTTTTGGTAACGGAATGAACATATATTTCCTTCAGGGAATGGAGTGGGAAAATGGAGAATGCCTGTGCTTTGTACCCATTCACTTATTCTTTCTTTAATCTCAGTAAAATAGATTTCCTAGTAGTATTTGAACACATAAAGTAAGGGGGAAAATGCCACAAACAATTGCATAGGTATGTATAACCACATAACAGGTAGAACCAATTGTGCTGGAACGAATGGGAAAATACACTAACAATAATTGCTAACATTTGTTGAGCCCTTTCAAAAAGCCAGCATTATACTAAACATTGCCTACAGCATCTCATTTAAATTTCACATTAACTCTTTCATATTGCTGCTAATATCTTATTTTGCAAGTAAGGAAACTGATAATACAGCTGTCAAACTCAAGTCTGTCTTCAGAATTAGCATTTTACTACTTTGGTACACCTCATAGCTAAATATAATGGGTAATAAAAAATATATTTCATTGACCATGAATTAAAGGAAGTACATGACTGATGTTTGTCCTGTAGCAACACTGAAGATTGTATGCCAGCAGCCCCAAGTGCTTGTCATATCTCTTACACATCCTTAGTATATTAGACTTTGCTTCAGAAACTGCATTTAGATACCATTTTAATAGGCATTTAAACAGTAGAGCATCAAGGCGCCTGGGTGGCTCATTTGGTTGAGTGCCAGGCTCTTGATTTCACCTCGGGTCATGATCTCAGGGTCATGGAATTGAGCCCCACTTCGGGCTCCGTGCTTGGCAGAGAGTCTACTTGGGATTCTGTCTCTCTCTCTCTCTCTTTCCCTCTTTCCTCCCCGCCCCACCCCCTACATGGTCTCTCAATAAATGGATAAATCTTTACATAAGTAAATAAATAAGCATCAAAAATGAAGATGGATTGGTGGATGAATAGATATGTGATAAAACAAGTATAATAACGTTAACAATAGAGTCTAGGTATGGTTATGCACGTATTCACCTGTAAAATTCTTTAAATTTTGCTCCATCTGAGATTTTTCATAATAAAATGTCAGAGGGAGTGATTAACAATATATTGTTATTATAAAACATTATTGATAGCTGTGTAAAAACCAGTAACGTGCTATATCCTCCATGCCTACAATGATTCTCTTAAATTTTTAGTAAGTCTTCCTAGGCCTGTAAAGGATAAAAATTGTCGCTGAAAATGGTCGAGTCAAA